TCACTTTTTCTGGAGTCTGTGGACATGTTCTTTTATTCTGCCTGGATTCAAGTCCCATTTTGATACATACTGGCTATGTGACCCTGGACAATTTACTAAACCGCTGTTTTCTGGGTAAGTCTCTAAGACTGTAAGTTGCAGAGAAAGTTCTAACCCGCACAGTAGAAGGAGCTTCCTCATCCAAGAGTTCCCTGTACCATTGAAATCACAGATCCTAGACCTATCCCTAACCCACATTTGTCTGATGGAATCTATTACACCTTAGGTTACACAAAGAGTATGTAGCTGAGATGAGGTTGTATCATAATGACATAAAAATATTCAGGGATTTGTTGATAGGTACCAATGCCAATCATACTCATCAACACACAGAGGCATTTTAATAACTGGCTAATTATATTCTCAGAGTACAATCCTATGGTTCACAAAACCTAATGGGCCATGAGTAGCATTTACAACAATTATATGTAGGACAACGTAAAATGGATTCAGTTGGAATTTTTACAGAGGGCAAGGGGGAAAGTAAAGATTTCCACATCAAAGAACTGATGTCAGAAGGGGAAGATCTATATCAGATAAGTTAATAACCTGATTAGTAAATGAAGAAGCAAAACTGATATCTCAAGCTGGAATTTTTTTGAACAGACAGAGCAGGAACTGACCAGATAGTTCCAGGGCTATAATGACTTTACAACTTAATTAAATAGGGGTAAAAAAGTGTAGCCAGAAATTCTTCTATCACTAACCTGAACTAACATTTGATGTCTGCAGTCAATTCTGCAAACTCCATCCTGTGATGTGAACAATGGTCTTTAAAATGGCAGTAATACTAAAATTTTTTACCATAGTACAAATGGTTGGCACTCCCTTTGGGGTCCTATAGCTTGTTTCTTGATCCAGTACCGAGCTTCTGTCCTGAGTCTATATTCATGGGACCAGTTTCTCATTTTTTGTTTTAGAATTTAATACTTAAAAGAAACCTTATCACTGCCCAAGTCTGATCTTTTGATTGATTCTTATGTTGGTCCTGCAACAATCTAGATCACAGGGATGCAAACTGCAGAGATAAAAATGGCTTTTACATTTTTAAATACAATAAAACTTTAAAAATTAAACACCATCCTTGCTGATGTACAAAAAAAGGTGGCAATTAAAATGCCAACCCTTGATCTAGGTCTTCACCAAATAGAAAATTTTACATTTTATCCTATTCAAGTAGATAGTATGAATTAAGACGATTTTTTCATCTATTCACTGACAGTTCTTAATAAATTTAGTTCTTTTGAAGGACATTCGAAGAGAAGCAGAGATGTAAGTCATATCTTATACACTACCTGAAGGTTACCTGGAAGTAACTTAAAGAAATGGAGAAGAGACCTGAGTTATTAAGAGATAGTAGGCAGTAGATTCAATAAAAAATCAATACTCTGAAATATCTTAATGTTCTTGTTGGCAAGATCTGTTTGGTAAATATTCAATTACTCATTGTTCTGTTTCTCTTGGTCACATTAAAAATTATTGACCTAAAGTGCTGTTCTCATGATTTCTGCAAGCTTCTTTCTTTTCCTTCACTATGATGCTCTTTTTCTTTTGCGGTCATCGATTTAGCCACCAAGCCCCCAGCCCCAAAGCATGGATCCAATTCTTAAGGATCTCTGATCATGACTACGAATGTTGTCAGTATTTCTGCAACTTCAAATTCTTTCAGGTGTCTTTTTTTTTTCTTAAGAGAAGTTTTTTTTTTTCTCTTCTCACAGACTCCAGACCTCAGAGCCTGAGTCAACTTGTCTTTCCAGGGCCAAAGGATGAATAACCAACTATTGGTTTCTGCTTTGCTGTAAATCAGATGATGCTTCACTTAAAATAAATCAACTTTATAGGGACACAACCATTTCACTAAGGCACCACTTCCCAAATGGAAACTAAACCAGGTAAAATAAAGCCAGAACCCTTTACTGTTCACCTGGTTTGTAAGGCACAACTCATAACAAATTAGTAACTCTTTATGATGCTCTTGGAAATATGTACTGGCCTATGGAATTTAGGACATGTTTAAATGTATCCATAAATAGGGAGAAAAATCAACAACGGTAATGACAATGACGATGATGACAACAATATCTTTTCAACAGGCAGTCATGAAAAGAACAGTAGCAGGACAGCAACTTGTCCCAGGTCAGTTTCTATCCAATACAATAACTCCATTGCATATAAAGTGAGAATTATAATAATCCTGATGATTGATGGTGATGATACCAACAACAACAACAGCAGTGTGGCACCACGGAAAGAGAATTGGATTTTAAATCAGAGCACATGGGTTCAAACCCTGCCTGTACTTTTTCCTACCTGTGCGGCCCAGGACAATTTACTTAATGTTTCTGAATGAAATGAAGGGGTTGGACTAGATGACATTAGAGGCCCCTTCCAGCTTTAAATCTGTACTCCTACAGTAGTGAGAGTAGCAACAACAAAACTATATACATATAAATGTTTGCCTGCATTACTTTGAAGGAATTTTTGACTCAAAAACACATATGCTGACCTTCTCCAGGAACTTAGTAGCTGATTTGCATGTCAAAATTTCACATTTAATAATTTAGTCAAGTCAATGTAGGCAACTATATCACTCAGCTACATTCCATTTTGTTTTTTAAGTTGGGCCATAAAAACTTTCCAGAAAACCAGATCATCTATTTGTACCAGTATCAACATCTCCATTCCTTCCATTCCCCATTTCACCTTGCTGTACCACTTTCTGATCATCTTGCAGTTGAGAAGCACCAAAGAATTTCCATTCACCCCACTATTCAGAAACCTTCAGTGGCTCCCCTATGACTTATAGGACAAAATACAAACTCTGCAGTATCATCCTAATTATGTCACTCAACCCAGAAACTATACTTCTTTTTGTGTAATATGTGGTTCTTCATGTTCTCACAAACTGATAGGTATATATGCCAAATTAAAAAAAAACTTAAAATGAAAACTATAATGATAATAGTAACAATAACAGTAATGAAATGGAGAAAAGCACAGTAAATAGAGAGTAAGCCTCACTGTCAGGAAGAAGTGGGATCCAAGGTCCGGGAGCCAGATTCTGATACCCAGTAGCTGTATGTCCCTAGGTGTATCACTTCTCATTGTTCTAGTCAAATTTAAGTTCTTTATCAGGAGTCCCCTAAGCAGATGAAATCACAGCTCTAGCCAAAAGTAATAGTAGTAGTAAGTAACCTTTCTAGAGTACTTTAAGGTATGTAAAGAACTTTACCTATTTCATCTCAATTGAAACTTAAATAAAGTATTAAAGCTAAAAAATCTCCATACAAAGAAACTATTTGGTAGGTTGGCATGTGTGAGGAGCCAAAATTCCCCTAGGTAGGTACCACAAGTAGTATTACCCCATTTTGTGACTTGCCCAAGGTCATAGCCAATATATGTCAAAGGAAGGACTTGAACCCAGACCTTCTAGGTGATTAAGGCCACCAGCTCTCTCTCTCCCTACTTACTACACTAAGGCAATTATCAATTTGGTTGAAATTGGCACATAAATAAATTAAAATCATTGAAATATATGTGACTTTTCTAGGTAATGACATTACATGAAGTATTTGGGGAAATAATTAACATCTAGACCGGTGTTGTCAAACTCAAATAGAAACAGGGGCCACTAAACCATACATAAATATCTCTGCAGGCCACATATTGACTTAGAAATCTACCTATTTATATATTTCTGTTAATATAGTAATATGTTAAAATTAGATAGGGAGTATATTTTAATCTGATTCAGGCTTCACTCAGAAGTGTTGTGGGCTGCATGCAGCCATAGGTCACAGTTTTCACACCTCTGATCTAAGCTATAGACAGTTAAAATATCTGTTTTCCCATGTGTAGAAAGATAATGCTGTTTGGGATTTAGCCAAGATATGGTACCAAAGCATGGGGGCTTTACTGTTTGTAGATATGTACAATCAGTACAGGAATGCAGCTTAGAAATGATGCTCTTGCCTTCTTAATTTGTCTTTTTTTCTGGTTCAATTTCATTTAAATGAGTTTAGGAATGTCTAATCCTGACTTAGGTAGTCATCTATAAGAGAAGATGCTTATCTCCACCTAGAAAAGAGCCCAATTGGTTACAACTGAAGAGTTACCAACCTACTCTTATCAGGACAAAGGTCCAACCACTGGCAAATAGAAGCTAATATGACCATACTGTGGTCTTGGAGAGACAAGCCCAAACCTACTAGCTTGAAATAATTTCCTGTAGAAATTTCAAAGACCAGCAGACACCAACCACTATGAGATCTGCAGAGCAATGCTCAGTTGAGACTATGTCACCAATTTACATCATCAGACCAATAGAGACATATAGAGAGACATGCGCAATGGAGATGCCACATGGCAAACAGAGAGATAATCATCTAAGACTACCTGCCTTTGTCTGGCAACTACCACAGCACAAGTGACGCAAAGCTCCCAGTGGAAATGCCATACCTGGTAGGAAATAGGCCCAGGGAGAGAAGAGTCATAATGACTACAGCAGAAGATATCAGCAGTCCTTCAGTATCCAAGTGAGCTGCCCCACACACACATGGGCCACCTATTACCCCTGAGTATATATGTGTGTATCATTCATATGAGAGCTCCATGTGAGTTCATTTTCATCTTGATGGCATGTTTATTTGGGAAACATGATATTATAACTTTTGCATTTTGCTTTTACTTATCTAAATCCTCAAGATGACTAGAAAAAAATTAAAGTCATTGCTGGAGGAGTTTGTGAGCTATAATTCGTTGTAGATGTGGACCCATGAGATTCAGTGATTTGGGGATAGTTTTTCTTGCAGTTTAATATACAAGGAGTACCCAAGATGCTGCATATGTGTGTAACCATTTCATATTTAAAACTGGTATCTTTCATCACCAACATTTTAGTACTTTGTGCTAATGATGCTAAGTGAAATGGACTATTAATTTAAAACAATCATGCAACTCACCGGAAAGTATAGTAGCAGAGAACCAAAAAGAATTGTTTCCAATAGGATCAGTCCTGATGCTCTGATGCTCTAGAAAACACAAATAAAATCAAAGGACTTACTTGTGGTTCAAGGTATAGAAACACATTAAGTGTAGGACTCAAAGATAACCTCTATAATAGCATTCTTCCACAAAGTAATAATAGCTCACCTTTTTACAGTGACTTAAGGTTTGAAAAGCCCGGTTCTCACAAGAATATTATGAGTTCTGCCCAATAAGATAGACCGTCATCCCCATTTTACAGAATGAGACAGATTAGTTAGTCTCCACTGGACCATGGTCATTTAACTTATTGAAAAGATTTTTATAGAAGTGAATTGTCAAGGAAGACTTTTGGGTGGAGGAACTTGAATACAATGCCAGGCAGGGTTGTGAAACCTCACAACTTCATCATGAAACACAAAGCAGACAATGGGGGCAGGCATGGGAAAGAACTCTGCAAGGCCCTTCAAACCTAGATATTTACAAAAATATGGCATTTTGACCCTCACATCTCTCCTATTCCAATAATGAGCTTTATGCCCAAATCATTTCCCAAATAACTGATGAATTAGCATGAGGGAACAACATGATACCATCTTAATGCTTCCATTTCACAGCATCCTAAAATTTCATCCAACACACCAACAGAGCTCCCACATGTGAATTTAAAATTTCATTAAATAGCAAAGTTACCTCTTGTCCCTTGCAAATATGCATAAACTTTACTGTCCCTAAAAATCCAAAAGAATAAGCTGATGGAAAAATTAAAGGTTCCAAATATTTGAAGTCTGACTAAGCATAAGAGTACTTAATAATTTTAACCTTTTTTGATACGTTCAAACAGAAATATCTTCCCACAGTAGTGTGCTTAGAGCTGTAGGGCAAAAAAAGAAACACGGATTTCATGTTCCAATAATAAAACTTGTTTCAATAAGTTGAACCATCATCATCCAGTAAACATATCAACAAAGAACAAAACAAAATGTAATCACAGCGTTCCAGTTTTCCTGTGTTTTCACAAGTGGAACAACAAAGGTGACTTGTCTGTGGTCATAGGATCAATGATTTACAGATGAAAGAGATCTTAAAGGTTTTCTAATACCACTATCTTCTTTCACAATGAAGAAAACTAAGGCCCAGAGAATGGGACTTATCTAAGGGCACATATATAGTGACAAGCAAATCTGTTACTGAAGTAATTGTCTTACTTAAAAGGAAAGCCTTTCAAAATAACTTAAAATTCACAATTCTGCAGAAGAAAGAGAAGATGGCAATGGTCTACAAGGAGGAATCAAACTTTTAAGGTTCATTGAAAAAAAAAAAGCTCAGACAAGTAAGAAGGAAAAGAAAATGTCACTTCCTCCACTGGAAGTCTGAATTTGGACATTGCCAGATTTCCATATTGGTTCCAGTTAGTTCTGCAGAATGTCTATCACAGAGATCGGGGGCTTCATACTATGAATTATTGTTTTATTTGAGCAGTTATCTTTGCTTTTCTTCTGGTCTTTAGACTGTAAAGCTTACAATATGACAATCACTTTGGAAAAAAGGATAAGGTGTCCAACGTGATTTATTAAATACAACTGCCATCTACAACCTGTTAGCTGAAAAGCAACAGAATGCTTGGGCTGTCCTGAATATAAAAGTATGGGGAAATTTTTTTCCCCTCAATCCAGGAAAATCTTAGAAGGATTTCATGTGAAATTAAGTGTAGTATCTTCTAAAAGTAGTGTGATACCTGGTTCATTTTTTTAAAGAAAATAATTGACCAGATGCCATTTATAAATAAAAGTAATACTATAGTAAATAAAATCAACACAGATCAATTCCCAAGTAAAATAGTAAAATAGGCATTGGTACATGGTAGGAGAACATAGGATGATGAGCTCATAGCTTACAAAAGTGCCAATTTGGCAGCTAGATGATGCAATGGATATAGTGGTGGGCCAGGATACAGGAAGATCTGACTTCAAATCCATAACTGTTCAAGGGTGTGCAAAATTAAAGGCACCCTCCTATTCTCTCCTCACCCCAGTTACCCTTTACCTAATCATTAATACTTATATTATCTTTGATTTCAAAGACACAGAGGAGGGGCAAATTTCAGTAGCCCCTGGGGGAGGAAATATGGTGTAATTCACACCAAGGTAGATCTAACATATATCAGCTGTTTTCCTTAATGCAGGATTTGATGAGAGAGGAAGAACACTGGAGGTGGGAGAATCTAGAAAGATAAAACCACAGGACCAAAAATCGAAATGTACCAATCAGGCAGTTTTGCCCTGAGTAATCCTGTTGACATAGAACCATTTTCACTGAAGTACCAGACTAGGAAGGAATCAATCCCCCTAGACTGTCCTGGCAAATTATCTGTACTTGAAATTATATTTTGAAGTGATATTGACCATCAAGACTTATGATATTCAAAACATGAGGAGATGCACACATGTGCACACCCATAAAAAACTACTTAAAATATCTGCCTTAGCCTGGCACTACTAAAAAGAACTGTTTCAATCCAGCATAAATTTATTAAACATCTACTATAGACAGAGCACCAAAAACAATACTTTTGAAATACCAGGAGAATATGGCACTCATAGGTTCAAGGAGGCAGCTAGGAGGTAGTGTAGATAGAGTACCAGGCCTGAAGTCAGAAAGATCTGAGTTAACATTCAGCCTCAGACACTAGCTGTGTGACCCTGGGCAAGTCACTAAACTCTGTTTGCCTCAGTTTCCTCATCTATAAAATGAGCTGGAGAAGGAAATGGCAAACCATTCTGGTATCTCTGCTAAGAAAACCCCAAATGGGCTCATGAAGAGTTGGACATGATTGAACAACAAGGTTCTAGGAATGCTTAGCTAAAAGGGAACTGAAGAACTCACCTACTTGAATACTTCCATTTAATAGATGAGGAAACTGAGGCCCAGAAAAGTTAGAGAATTAGTCCAAAGTGGAACGTCTGGTTAATGGTGGAGCCCATATTAAAATCTCAAATCTCAATACTCAGAGCAGATGAACACTGTAGGAAGCAAACACTGTTTCAATTGTATGAATAGCCATTTCATTTTTAAAGTAGGTAACCATTTTTAAAAGATATTTATGCAAACAGCTGTTATTTATAAAGTGATCATTCAATTTGTCTCTCCTAGAACTGAGGAGTAGGGAGCGGGGGAAGCAACACTTTTCTCAGCAGTCTATAAACATTTAGAACTGCTTTCTAAAGGTTGATAACCACCATCAGGAAAGGGCCTTAGAGGTCACCTGGTCCAGTTTCATTTTTTAATAGACAAGAAAGTTGAGACCCATAGACTTGAGTGACTTACCCAAGGTCATACAGATTATAAGCAGCAGAAAAATCAGGGCTCTCTGCCTATTAGTCTTATATTACTCCCACAGTACCAGACTATTTCTCCTACCTGCAAGTCAGAGAATCAAGATGATTATGAAGTCTTTGATGTGTTTTTAATGGAATTACCTCAAAGTCAATTTCTAAATTCCATAATCTTTAGTATGCAAACTATAGATGCTGCAGAGGAACAACTTGAAATAGATGAAAAGAGTGAACCAGAGAGCCAACAAGCATTTATTAAACACTTACTGTATGCCAGACACTGTGCTAAGCACTGGGAATACAAATCCAAGCAGAAAGATAATCCCTGCCCTTAAGGATCTTACATTTTAAAGGGAAAAGACCACACATAAAAGGAGGCTGAGAAAGAGAAGCAGAGGGAGATGAAGGCATCTCATGTAGGACCTAATAGAGAAACCTGGAGTAGAGCAGCCTGCAGAGTATTGAGATATGGCTGGCCTGAGTGCCTGAGTGTTGGATTTTCTGGAGGAGTGATCCAATAAGATAGAGAGGCCACATAGTGGAAAGTACTTCCAAGATATGAATTCTGGGGCAACAGTAAGAGCTTTCTGGGAATGGTAGAGACCATGCTGAGTGGAAGAGTACAGAGTAAGCTCTGGGCAGAAGACCAAGTGAAAGGAGATTCAGATTTGACTTCCGGCTCTGCTCTTACTCGGTTCCCTTATCTGCTAAAAAATTGACAGGTTGGCCTCTAAATTATCACTAAGATCGCTTCAAGCTGAATTACTTTTTGATTCTCACTTGATCAGATGAATGGCTGTTAAAGTATTAATTATATTTATCTTGAACTGGAGCAGACAGAGTAAGCCACATGAGAGGAGGAGTTCAAAAGGATGGGACCATTGAGGGCTGGATTTTCCTAAAGAATAAAACAGTCTTCTATAATGTCCTTGATTTCTGCTGGGGATATGTCACACCTTCTGGTGAAAGGAAGACATTTACTTTTTCTTTTTTTTTTTCTTTTTTTGTCTCTGGAGGAATCATCAAATATCTCTTGTGAAATAGTACAGCTGTTTCTGAGACTTTTCTATTCACATTGCCTAGCAAATTCAACAAATTCTTTTGGTCTAGAAATCAAAATACTGGCAATGTTTTCACTTCCTCATATCCTATGACTTTAGAAAATATTTGGTCAAGGTTAGAAAGCACTAGAAATATATCCAAAATGGGGCAGCCTATCATGATAATGCAGGATTCTCCAAATCAAATCATTTTCAGAAAGAACCAACTGTGTGAGTAGAAGGTGTACATCACACAGATGCGATGTATTTTTTTTTTCTTAACTGGATGGGCAAAGTCACAAAAAAAAGAGACCATAAAGGAATACCCACATGATGAAAGACTAACAGATCAAAAAGCTGGATGCAACAAGAAGAAAAAAATGTCATGAAAAGAAGTGGGGAGTTGGGTGGTCTCTAGAGACTGCTGTTCAGCATTTTAATGAACCATCTGACAGATGGGTGAGAACAGAGAATTGGCAGACTTTGTTAAGCTATTTAGTGCTCAGAAGCACTATGGGGAAAAGCTGAAGAACCAATCAGAAGTAGATAAGGAGGTCAAAGGACAACTGTCCAAATTCAGCATGTGGTCAATTAAAACTAGCCAGACATTCTAGTGGGTGTGCAATCATTTCTATTTTTTCCAGGAAGTATTTTAGCATGAAGAGGGTCATC